TTTTTGAGGACAAGGACTGTTTAGGAACACTATTTAGAAGGAGATTTTAATATTACAATAATATTATTTTTTAATATTTTAAATATTTTAATATTAATATAGATCAATGGTATCAAACTCATATAGAAATGGAGGCTACTAATCCATGCAGAGGATATCTATGTGCTGCCTATTTGTTGACTTGTTTTAAAATGTAATATTATCTATGTTTTATTTTATTTTTTTAAATTTGTTTTGAAATATTTCCCAATTACATTTTAATTTGGTTCTGGCTATACTTGGGAGTCTTGTAGGCCCACAGGCTGTGTGTTTGACATCTCTGGTCTAGATGAGAAGGGCCTGAAGGAAGAGAGTATGGATGTGAGCAAGAGAGAGAGTCAATAAGACTTATCAGCTGATTGAATGTGGAGGGTAAGAGAGAGGGAGAAGAAAGATGACTCTGGTTTAGAGCCTGGGTAGCTAAGAGGATGGTGGTATTATCTACACACCAATGGAGAAGCTATTAGGAAAGGAGGAAGGTCTTTTTTTTTGGTAGAGGGAAGATGATGAGTTCCATTGTGGATATATTGAGTTTGATGTGTTGGTAGGCCGTCCGTATGTATGTAACCAATAGGGAGTTGGAAATACAGGACTGGAGTTCTGGGCAGATGCTGTTGGTATCTGTATCTAATGGGAGTCATCTACACAGAGATGGCAACTAGTGCTATGAGATCTCCAAGAAAGAGTGTGGAAAGAGAAGGATAAGGACAGAACCTTGGGAGACACTCACATTAAAGAGGCAGAAAGAGGATAAAGAACCAAAAAGGAAATGGAGGAAGAACACACACACACACACAGAGAGAGAGAGAGAGAGAGAGAGAGAGAGAGAGAGAGAGAGAGAGAGAGAGAGAGAGAGAGAGAGAGTGAGTCATGGAAGCCAAGGGGGCACAGGTTATCCAGAAAGAAGAGATGTTTCTGGGGAGTCAGATGCCTTGGAAAGATCAAAGAACTTTAAGATGGACAATAAAGACCTTGGATTTAGTGATAACTTAATTTATGACCTGGAGGGAGCTGTTTTATTAAAGCAGTAGAGATGGAAGCCAGGCTACAAAGGAGCTAAGGAATGAGGGGGGAAGTGGAGGTAGCAAGTGTAAACAACTCTTTCTCAAAAGTCTGGTAGTTGTGAGTTTGATGGACGATTTTATTTTTAGGATTAGATGAAGAAGAGACAGAATCTGCACCTCTCCCTTCTTTGCAGAGGTAGGAGACCATGGTTATGAACACAGCATACATACACTGTTGGACTCAGTTTTTGTCTTCGTTAGTTTTGCTGAGCTGGTTTTTTCTCTTTTTTATTCTGTCCTAAGGTTAGAGAGAAATAAAAATTGGGAAATGAAGTTATGTAAAAACCAAAGATAACAATTAAAACTAAGTTTAAAAAAATAGGATTGGTGAGACCTGTGCATGTTCATGGTCTAAGAGAAAAGAATTGGTAGGATAATTGAAGTGAAAACTTTAACACTCTATAGAAATGTGAAATATTGTCATTATAATTAAAGATGCATGAGAGAGGGGGTGACTGAGGGAGCAATGACAGAGGAGATGGGAGGTGATGGCATCCAAAGATGGAAGTGGAAGGTTGTCTTTGGCAAGGAGGAAGGCCAGCTCTTCCTCTTGGAATGGAGGGAAGAGGATGCTAGGTGAGACTATTGAAAAGGGGAGAGAAGAGAAGTCAGCAGGTTCAGATCAGTGCCTCCAATCTGAGCAGTGTAGGGATCAATGACCTCTCCTGAGGATAAGAGGGTAGAGACTGGAGTTGCAGTCTTAAGGAGAGAAGGAATTGAATCGCCCATTTGGCAAATGCGATGGAGCGAATGAGATTGCTGTGCAGAAGAACAAGTCCAGTTGAGATTCAATAACGTAAATTTGTAATGAACTCAGTCTGAGGCCTTATCTGTCTTCCCTGCACAGTGTCTGTGTAGAATGAAAGCCAGGTCATGGACAGTAGAGGGAGAAAGGAGGAACCATTTGTTGGAATGTAGTGGTCCTAGGGCAACTGAGCGGTGTCACTGAATACTGGAGCCAGCGTTTCTGAATTAACAGAAGAGCTGAATGGCTGTCCAGCCTTCTGCAAACTGTCTTTTCTCTCTTCCTTTCCTTAACTCATTGGATCCTGCCTTCTTACCATTCCGAGACTCTAAGGAGGGGATTGGCAATCTGCGGTACATGCTAAAGATAGCGTGTTGGCTGATTTTTCAGTGGTATCAGCATACTGACTGTGTTGCCTACTCTTCATGGCTTGTGTCTCACACTACATAAGAATCTCCCTGAATATACATTGTACAAACCTATTTGCAATTATATGTTTCTTGACTAGAAGAAAAGGAATCAGGGCTTTGGCATACTGCTTTTGAAGGCTGCCAAACCCCCTGCCCTTCTCTAAGCTGCTGATAGCAGATGAATAGGATGCTGGAGAAGAACTAAGGGCTACTTGTGTCAGCAGATCTTTCCTGACCTCAGGGCCTGGGTACACTCTGGAAACCTCTAGCCTTTTCTAGCTGGTTTGCCTCTATCCAGGTGGAACTGGAGAACATCAGTGAGTGGCAATACGCCAGTGGCGGTCTTCAATCCCTTATAAGCACTTGGCCTCAAAAGGCCAGAGAACATCTTTGATTTACTCTGCAAAGTACACAGAAGAACTTTTATGCAAACCAATAGAGAGTCAGGAGACCTCTTTCCCGTGGGTCCCTTTCTTGACCACATAAGAGGCGTGGGCCTCGTAGTATCATGCTGGGTGTACCTCTATTGATGGAAGAGGTGAAGCTTGTTTCTTCTGCATCTCACTGTGATAGCTCTGTTTCCAGCAGGACTCCACCACTGCATCTCGCCATGGTTGCTGTCCTCTGCTCCTGGCCACCATCATGGATGTCCTCCCCAGTTTCTCTGTTCTCAGTGTTGTCTCATTGTTTCCTGCTCTTTGGCTCTCTTTTCACAATCATTCCTTCTTGGCACAAATGATGCCAACTCTAGAGTGTGGAGAGGTTACGCTGAGGTCTTAATAGCTCTTTGAAGTTCTTTCATGCCAACAGCCAGTGTCTCTGGGCTGTTTATTTTTCCTATTCTTTGATACTCAGTCCTCCACTACCACTTTATAAAACAAAAGACCTTGGTGTCTTTTCTGTTCTTGTTGAGAACCTCTTTCTACTCACCTTTATTAGTCAAGTAAGCATTTTCTCTTTCTGGTTGAGTAAGGACAAATTTGTTCCATTTACCTCCTTCCTCTGACACTACACAGGCAGTGTACCTCCTCCCCTCCCATCTGCAGTGATTCTTGAGAGGACTGGAATACCTGCTTCTGCTCCTTTCCTATTTATGTCCACTCTTATCTTCCTCTCAGTCAGTGGCTTCCAGAAAGCACTAAGAAAGGGAGGGGGAAGGAAGGATCCTTTCTCTGAGAGTACAGATTCAAGTATCTGACACACGATAAATAACTTTAATGGCAATAGTAGTCAAATTTTAACCTGAAAAGTGACCAAGAATAGATTGAATTATGCAGTCATTGGCACCTACCAATTGTATGAAGAAATATATATACAAAAGAAATATATATACAAACAATGTACAAATTTCAAATACCCACTTAATTACTTAATGTACTTGGCCTTCAGTTAATCCTAGTAAAGACCATTATTTAGAGTTAGTCTCCTTTGCCAGTCAGTTAATAAACTTCTATTAAATACCCACTGTGTGCCAGGTCTGTACTAAAGCCGGGGAAATGAAGAAAGATAGAAGACAATCCTTTCTTGGGCATAGTTACAGATCAGTTGTTTTGAAAAAAGATCTAGAGGTTTTAGTGGACCATAGTCGGCAATGTGATAGCTAAAAAAGCTAAGGTGACATTGGGCATCATTGGCACAGGCATTTTATTGTACAGTTGTTTCAGTCGTGTCTGACTCTTTGTTATCCCATTAGGGGTTTTCTTTTTTTTTTCTTTGTTTTTTTGTGTGAGTCACACAGTTAGTGAGTGTTATGTGTCTGAGGCCAGATTTGAACTCAGGTCCTCCTGACTCCAAGGCCCATGCTCTATCTACCGTGCCACCTAGCTGTCCTGCATTTGGGGTTTTCTTGGCAGAGATACTGTAGTGGTTTGCCATTTCCTTCTCCAGATCATTTTACACATGAGGATACTAAGGCAAATAGGGTTTTGACTTGTCCAGGGTCATAGAGCTAGTAAGTATCTGAGGCCAGATTTGAACTCAGGAAGAGGAGCCTCGCTGACTCCAGTCCTGGCACTCTATCTGTGGGGCTGCCTAGCTGCCCGAGATAGGTATAGTTTCTAGAAATATGGAGATGAGAATTCCACTATGCAATGCCCTTATCTAGACTATTATTATGTTCAGTTTGGGGTGTGATAGTTTAGGATACTGACAAACTAGACAGTGTCCAGAGGAGGATGACCAGGATGGTGAAGAGCCTTGAGTCCATGTCACACGCGGATTGATTGAAGGAACCAGTCATGTTTAGTCTGCAGAGAAGAGGGCTCAAGAGGGCCATCATAGCTGTCTTCGAATATTTGAAGGGCAGCATATGGATGGGTTTGTTCTCTATGGCCCTGGAGGACAGAACCAGGAGTAATCAGGGGAGTTACACAGAGACCGATTTAGGCTGAATGTCAGGAAAATTTTTTCCTAAGAATTAGTGCTGTCCAAGATTGGAATAGGACAGCCTGGGAAGGTTTTGGATACTCCCTCCTTGGACATCCTCAGCCAGACTGCAGCTCTCAAATTCTGTGATGATAAGTCTCTGCAATACATAGCATAGTAGAAAGAGCACTGAATTTGGATTTAGAAGAGGTGGGTTTCAATCTTACTATAAATGTGACCATCGACAAGTCATTTAACTTCTCTCTAGGCCTTGGTTTCCTTTTCTGTAAAATGAGTGAGCTGGACTAGATAATCCCTAAGGTCACCTTCTAGTGCTAACATTCTATGAGCATATATTTTTAAATTTTCCAATTATAGTCATGGAAATAAAGAAACCTTTTCCTGCCGGGGAATTCGGTTGGCTGTGGACTGGTTCAGGGAGAGAGGACACAACTACATCAAGGTCTTTGTCCCATCTTGGAGGAAGGAACCACCAAGATCTGATACCTCTATTTCAGGTACGTTGCTACAGATGCTTCTCCATCTTCCAGGTGACAAGGATGGCTTCAAAAGTAGTCATGCTGTTGCCTTGCAGATAAATTTACCAGCCTACAAAAAATATCAGTCATGCATGCCATATCTCTTGCTACATAGTCTGTACTTTGTTGTAAAGTAAATAAATATAAGGCCATACCATATTAGAGGTGGGAGAATACTCAGAGTTCAGCTAACACAGTCTCACTTTTGGAAAAATGGAGAAAATATAGAGATGGAGGAATATGATCACATAATCAAAGAATCTCAAAGTTGAAATAGTCAACAAGCATTTATTAAGTACTAGCATCGTACAAAAAGCTGAGGATATAAAGAAAGACAGAAGACATGTCTTGCTGTCAAGGACTTCACAGTCTAATGGGGAGAACATGTAAACAATCAAATTCAATTAAACTATACGCAAATTAAATTGGAGATCGTCAACAAAGGGAATGTGTAGAACTAAGGGGATCAGTAAAGGCTTCCCATGGAAGATGAGATTTAAATTGGAACTTCAAGGAAGTTAGGAGGTAGAGAAAAGGAGAGAAGGCATACCAGGCATGGGAGATAGCCAATAAAAATGCCCAGAGTCTGGAGATGGAGTGTGTTGTTCAAGAAATAGCAGGGCATTCAGTGTCTAAGAAGGCTGGAAAGGTGGGGAGGGGAAGGAGGTTCTGAAGGATTTTGAATGCCAAACAGGATTTTATGTTTTTGATTCTGCAGGTGATAGGGAGGCACTCGTGTTTATTGAGTGGGGAGATGACATGTTCAATCCTGTGCTTTAGGAAGATCAATTTGACAGAAGGGGGGCATAGACTAGAGAGAGACCAACCAGCAGGCTATTACAATAATCTAGGCATGAGGTGATTGGCACCTACCCCAGGGTGGTGGCAGTATCAGAGGAGAGAAAGGGACATATATGAGAGATGTTGTGAAGGTAAACTCTATAGGCTTTGGCAACAGATTGGATATAGCAAGTGAGAGAGAATAAGATGTTGAGAATGATACCCAGGATTCAAGCCTGGGTAACTGAGAGAATGGTGGTACTCTCCAGAGTATTAGGGAAGTTAGGAAAATGGGAGGGTTTGAGGGAAACATAATGAGTTCAGTTTTGGACGTGTTGAATTTGGATGTCTATGGGACATCCAGTTCAAGATGTCTGGAGGGTAATTGGAAGAGGCCTTAGAAGCAATCTAATCCAGACTGTGTCCTGTAGCATCTCTGACAAATAGTCATCAAGCCTTAACTTTGAAACCTCTTTTTGAAGGGAGGGGAGAGAGAAGCTCATGTACTGAGGTATCTCAGTTTACGTTGGGTTAATTCCAATCATTGTGGAGTCTCCACCATGCGTTGTCTCTATCTGCCACTCTGAAACTGAGCTGCTTTGTTCTTAGCTCCAAGCAGAGAAAGTCTAGTTCCTTTTCCATGTAATGTCTTTTCAAGTGTTTGATGGCAGCCATCGTGGTCCTACTGTCTCCTTTGTTCTAGATTGAAGAGTCTCCATTCCATTCACCAGTCCTTTTCTGGGAGATAGTCTCCACTTTCACCAGCACAACTGCCCTCTTCTGGCTTTGTTCTAGCTTATCTAGGTCTTCTTAAAATGTGGTGCCCAGAACTGAATAAAATATACCACAGGTGTTCTGACCAGAGAACAGTACAGTAGAATTATCAGCCTCATCTTATGGCTCTGTGCCTCTCAATGGGTCCCAAGAGACCATTAGTCTTTTTGACTGGCTTGCTGTACTTTTAAGTCATTGAGCTTGTAGGCCACTAAAACCCCCAAATCTTTTTAACAAAAGTGTTATTTTGTTACCCTTCAATCATCCCATATTTGTAAAGTGGATTTTTTTTTTAACCCAAACGTAGAATTTTTCTTCCTTCTCAAATTTCATCCTCTTATATCTGGCCCATTGTTCTAGCCTGCCAAGCTCTTTCTAGATATATAACCATCATGTAAGCTATTCTTCCTGGTTTTATGTAATTTTCAAATTTGGCAAACACACTTTCTAATGTGTAAAGTGTATAAAGAAGTAAACACATGTAAATATATACTTGTATGTAAGAAAACATACTTTCTTATTTGTTTTGTGTCTTCTTCCAAGCTACTGACAAAAATGACACGGGGTAGACAGATGTCTGGGGCATTCCCATAAGGACTTCCTTCCAAATTTACCTTGGCCCCACTGAAAAAATAAAACTTAGCTAGCATTTACATAGAGCTTTAAAGTTTACAAAGTGCTTTACAAATATTACCTCATTTTATGCTCACAGCAAGCATTGGAGGGTATTAGGATCATCCCCAATCTAAAGATGAGGAAACTGAGTCAGACAGATATTAAGTGGTTACCCAGGGTCATATAGCTAGTAAGTTTGAACTCAAGTCTTCCTGATTCCTGACTTCCTAACTCAGTGCTCTGTGCACTAAGCCACCTAGTTGCCCATTAATAATTATCCTTTGAGTCTGATCAGTCAACCAGTTCTGATTCCACCTAGTTAGGTATATGAGGTGAATACTATTCAAGTTCTTATCTCTCCATCTTCTCCTTAAGGTTTGCGTGTTGTTAACATTGTTCAGTCATTTTAATCGTGTCTGACTCTTCGTGACCCCATTTGGGGTTTTCTTGGCAAAGATATTACGGTGGTTTGCCATTTCTTTCTCCAGCTCATTTTACAGATGAAGAAACTGAGTCAAACAGGGTTAAATGACTTGCCCAGGATCACATAGCTAGTGTCACCTATGTAAGGTTTGCATGAGAGACTGTCAGATATTTTGCTGAAAACTAGCCTATGATATCTATAGCATTTTCCTGTTCTGTCAGAAAAAGAAAAAAAGAAATAAGATTAGTCTGGAATAACTTGCTCTTAATATATCGTCATGCTGACCATGCCAAGAAACTAAGGACCTAGGGAGATATTAAAGGGTTAGTTCAAAGTTCCATAAAATCACCATGTTTTATTCCCGGTAACCTATTAATTGTTTATACAGCTGAACAGCTGGTTCTAGACAGGCCGTTCTATTTACACATAAATACAGCTCCAGGGTTTTGTGACCCTGTGAGGAGCGATTGAAGGATGCTCTCTAAAGAAAGGAAGATGTAGTACTTTTCTTCAAGCTTTTTAAGGTCTGTCATGTGGAAATGGGGATTGGATTATGTTTCAGAGGGTGGAACTAGGAACAACAGGTAAAAGAAACAAATAAGCAGGGAGCGATTTCTGCTCACCCTAAGAAAGAACTTGATAATAATAATGATGATGAAAGCAATAATATCTTATATTTGCATGATGCCTTTTAGCTTTCAAAAAACTTTTACATACACTTTTTCATTTGATGCTCACAGAAACTGAAGTAGGCAGGGCAGGAGCTATCACTCCTGCTTCATATATAAAAAATTGAGGGAGGTTGCACATGGCTGTATGTGGTTGCATATGGCTCATCGTCAAACAAGTGCTTAAGTGGTGGACCTAGGACTAGAACCAGGTCTTCTGACTCTCAGGCCAGTGCTCCTTCCACTATAGCACTTGGGATGGTTTAATCCTGAGAGGGGCTACCTTGTAAAACAAAGAAGTCCACGGAAAGGCTCAAGCAGAGACCAGTGACTGGCTATCAGAATCTTTATGGTCCCTTTCCAGCTCGGAGGTTCTGATTTTTTTTTCCTTATCAAATATTGTACTTTGGACTTCATGCAGGAAAGGAGCCCTCTTGAAATGGAGCTGTGGGTAAATCCAGAGGAAGTAAGAAATAAAAACCCTTGGGGCCTGGGGAGGGGGACAAGGGAGTGGGTGGTACTTTCATTTGCTTGAAGCAATTCAGCTGGTAACCCTGTACACTTGAGGTTCAGGTTTTTTTGGGGCTTTTCTACATTCTTCCTTCTGTTAAATTCTCTGACTCCCTTAGTGACTTATGGGGGGAAACTACTCCCTTGAGAAATGAAGCTCACTTTGGGATATATGAAAACTATTTACCTATGTGCATCAAGAGACAGAGTGTGTGTGTATCTGTATGTTTATATATTTACATATATATTCATACATGTATACATATATAAAGAAAGAGAGAGTGAGAAAGACAAAGACGTGGAGGGACAGAGAAAGAGAGTGAAGGAAAAAGAGAGGGGGGTACATGGCATAGTGGATAGAGAATATCCAGTCACATCAAAGAAGACCTGAGTTCAAGTCTTTGATACATTCTGTGACCCTAGACAAGTTATTTAGCAACTCTGTACTCTAGGTCACTCTATATGCCTGTAATCTGCAGAGAAGGTGCATCAAGAAGTCCCTGAGGCCATTGGAATCATTGGTTTGATCCCTCTTAGCTCTGTTTATATCTGTATCTTAACAGAGAAAGAGGGAAGAATGGGAGGGAGAGAAAGAAGCTCGTCTTGTGATTTCATTGGTTTACTGAGCTCCCATATAAAGAAACTCCCTTTATCAATGCAGGTTGTTAGCACCTTCTCTGCCTACTATAGCCTTAGAGAGTTGTCCAGTATGTGTCAGAGGTGGGGCTTGAACCCAGCTCTTCCTGGCTAGGAGGATGATCCTCTATCCAATACATTATGGTGTAGTGTATGCATATACATATAGAAATTATTGCAACAACTTTCCAAGGAAAAAAAGAGTAGTGTAAAAAGTGTTGGACTGGGGCAGTGAGGTGGCGCAGTGGATAGAGCACTGGCCCTGGAGTCAGGATGACTTGAGTTCAAATCCTGCCTTAGGCACATAATACTTATTAGCTGTGTGACCCTGGGCAAATCACTCAACCCCATTGCCTAGCAAAAAAAAAAAAGCGTTGGACTTGTAATCAAGAGAACTGTATTCCAATCCTGATTTCTATTTCCTTGCCTATGATGATGGTCACATGAGAAAACGTATTTAAGGATGCTTTGAAAATGCTATCCAAATGTAAGATTCCATGTGACATGGACCATGGCTTCTAAACTATCACCATTAGAAGAGTGAAAATCCCACAGAGTTCTTCCAAGAGTCAATTCCAGAGCCAATTCTGTTTACCCCATTAAGTGGCTACAGCTAGGTCCTGATTGGTGAGAATAATGAATCCTGCGGTATCATTTGAATTCACACTACACATATCCAATATCCATTGGGCTGGAACTAATAGTCACATTTCATATAATTATGTAATTATGATTTTTATGTAATTATAACCACATTTTATATCATTATAACAGAATAATGCAAATACATGGGACCACTTCACAGGCTTCATTACTCTCACTAATCAGGACCTAGCCATACTTACTAGTAGTGAGACCCTGTGGGCAAATCACTGAAATTTTCTGATGCTTGGTTTCCTCATCTGTAAAATGGGAACAGTAATACTTGTAGTATGCATTCTACAAGGTTGTTGGGAGAATCAAATGAATTAGTGTATGTAAAGTGCTTTGAAAAATTTTAAAGGAATCTGTTAGCGTGTGTGTGTGTTGTGTGTATCTATCTTAGTTATTATTATTATTAACAAAGCATATTTTTTCTGGGCAGGGGCAGAGAGAGTGAGTTATAGAGAAGAGCCAAAACTTTAAAAAGCCTATTTTTTTCTGGGGAGTGTTGTGAGTCCCATTTTTTTCCTCTTCTGTTTTCAGAACAGCATATCCTAGAGGATCTGGAAAAGCAGGCAGTTCTGGTGTACACGCCGTCTCGCAAGGTCAATGGTAAACGGGTGGTCTGCTACGATGACCGCTACATTGTGAAGGTAGCCTATGAGAAGGACGGCATCATCGTTTCTAATGACAACTATTCGGGACCTCCAGAGCGAGAACCCAGAGTGGAAGTGGTTCATCGAGCGGAGACTCCTCATGTTCTCCTTCGTCAATGACAAGTGCGTGGGGGGGAAGGGTCCTGAGTAGCTAAAGGCAGCTCAGAGAGAGCAGTAGATAGAGCATTGTTCCTGGAGTCGGGAAGACCTGATTTCTAATCCAGCCTCAGACCCTAGCTACTTGTGTGGTCTCAGTTTCCTCATCTGTAACAATAATTTGATAATAATAGCACCTACTTCCCAGGGTTGTTGTGAGGATCAAAAGAGATAATATTTGTGAAGTGCTTGGCATAATGCCTGGCACACATTAAGTGTCATGGTCGATAGAACCAAGCCTTGGGTCAGAAAGACCTGAGTTCAAATCTGGCCTCAGATACTTACTAGCAGTGTGACCCTGGACAAGTCATTTAACTCTTTGCCTCAGTTTCCTCATCTACAAGATGAGCTGGAGAAGGAAATGGCCAAGAAAACCGCAGATGGGGACATGAAGAGTCAGAGGAGACTGAAAAAACAACTGAACAAGAGCTAAGAGAGTAACTGAAAATGAAAGGGACCAAGTAAGACACAGAAGCAACCTGGTGCTAGGAAGTAAAAAGAAGGGGAAGGAAGGGACATTTTCCTTCTGGTTTCTCCTTATTGAGCTAGGAAATAGCTTGTTTCTGTGCTCTAGTGAGGGGTTATTAATCTGTGGTTTGCAAACTTGTTTTTAAAAAATTTCTATCATTTTATCTTAGTAGAAATGGTTCCTTCATAATCTTATATATTATATTTTATGCATTTAAAAGTATCATTCTGAAAAGGAGTCCCCAGGCTTCACCAGACTACCAAAGGGGGCCATGACACTAACAAAAAAAAATAAATAAAATAAGATGGGGAATCTCTGCTCGAGGGTATGGTATTGGGAATTCTTGGGGATAAAACTCCCTCTGCCTGTGTGGATCTATACCCACTCTACAACTTGGCATCCTAGAACATTGCCTGGGACACAGAGAGGTTAAGTCACTTGCCCAGGGTCACACATAGTCCATAGGTTCCCAAAGTGGGTGATACCGCCCCTTTGGGGGCCCTGGAATGATCCAGGGGGGCTGTAGTAGCCTCAGGTGTAATTGTGGGGCATTGAATAAAAATAAAGGGGCAGCGGAAGCATAAGGAAAAGAGAAGATAAGAACATTTTGAAAAACCGTTGGTACATGTTTCATCTGTTGTGTAACAGAGTTAAAGTCATAGTGATTACATTTTTTCCCCCACATAAACACACAAAATGCAAGTTATAACCAATCAGTGGTCAAGTCCACTGACAGGTCTTAACAAGCAAGTGTTGTCAGGTGAGTGTGTCGGGCATTGTTGGGAAGTCCAGCATGCATCAGCAGGAATATGTATATGTAATGACTTGTTTACAATATGAGACTATATGGTTACATGAGGCAATATTGCATCATCAAAATTTCAATGCAGGAAAAAACCCACAAATTTACAATAAATTATTAAATTTAAGATATGTCATTTCAAAAATGACACAAATTTAAAAAAGACACTAAAGAAATTAGATTTTTATTTTTTGAAAACGGGGTAATAGATCAAATAAATCTGGGAACCTCTGGGCTAGTCAGAAGCTAGACTTTAACCCATGTTTTCCTAATTCCGAGCCTGGCTCTTTATCTATCACTCCATGTTGCCTCATATTATTAATTGGTCATCTATTCATAGTGCTTTCCTTTAAAACCTGATGTGAGTATTATCTCCATTTTACGTATCATGAAATTAGAGTCCTAGAGAGGTTAATGGTTACATGGCTAGGTAGTGACTAATGCAGTTTGTTCTTCCACACCACACTGTGCTTATATTTTATGCTTCTTACTAGGAGATCTGGAGAACACTATAGATATGGTATAACCACTCTCCAGAGATACTGGTGTAGTAGAAAACAAATTCAAAACCACTTTCCAAGAAGCCTAGATTTCAGCAAATCAGTCTTCTTGTCCTTGAGGATAAGATGGAGACATGAGGGCTAAATGATAGTATAGTTAAGAAGATTCAGAACTAGTTGAATGAACAGCCAGGGGTGGGGAGCCTACTGCCTTGAGGCCACATGTGGCCTTCTAGGTCCTTGGGTGTGGCCCTTTAACTGAATCCAATCTTCACAGAACATTCCCCTTAATAAAATAAAAAGGATTTGTTCTGTAAAACTTGGACTCAGTCAAAAGGCCACACCCAAGGACCTAGAAGGCCACAAGTGGCCTCCAGGCTGCAGGTCCCCCACCCCTAGACCAGACTCAAAGAATGGTCATTAATGGGGTCAATGTTAACTTAGCGGAGGTCTCTAGGGATCTATCTTCCATTGACCCTGTAATATTTTTGCCTATGACTTAGGTGAAGACTTGTAAGATGCCCTGGTCTCCCTAGGGAGTGGGAAGGAGAGGGTTCATTGTTGTTTGGGCTGGGCAACTTCCTACAAGCCAGGGCAGGCACAGTCTGGGAGGTCAAGTCAGTGAGGAAGCAGCTACGGCTCTGCTACTCCCTGCTTCACCTTACCCCTTGTGCTCCTGGGCACCTGAAAATGAAGGGCTGCCCCCTAAGCCATGGGGCAGGTATTCAGTTGCTTTCTGGGCTAGTCAAATTCAGCCTCTCTCCCATCTCCACGTACGCCTAGCCAGAGGCTCCCACTGCACAGTTTCAGTCCAGGGAAATCTGGCCAGTCTTAGTGCTTCGAGTGCCAACAAATCCTCACTGTTGCCTAAAGAACCATGACGACTTTTGGACTGGTGACAGCATCTGGGTCAGGGTCCAAGTGCATCTGACACAACTGATCCCTGTACAGGACCTGTCATCTCCCTCGCTGCCAGGATGCAGTGCCCACCTGCCCTCCCGCCTGCCTGGGCGAGAAGGAACTCCATCCCAGAGCCCTCGGCATGGCCCTAGAGGGCTCTTGGCACTGTTTCCTAGGGCCCAGGAGAGAGAGTTCAGGAGGCAAGGCCTTTGGTCACTGAGAATAACCGTGGCAAGTCACTTCCCAGATTCTTGGTTAGGGTCCAACATTCGGAAGCTCTGTGTACAGTTGGTAGCCTGAGCAACCAGAGTCTAACACTGGAACATGCAGCCTCCAGGCCTGGGGTGATCTATAGACTAGTTCCAATGGACTCCTCAGAGGGGATTTTGATCTCAACTATATTGTATTTTTTTTCCCCAAACTTATTCCAAATTAGTGACTACCTGTCCCAGCTTTTCCTTAACCAGGAAATGTGCTCTGAGGACAAATTTGCATTCATCCAGGTAGTAGGGAGAGGTTCCCATCTGTTGTAATTCATTCTGCCTTTGAGAGGTGATTGCTGAGAGTATATATATTATTATTGCCTGGGCACAGATAGGGAGAAGTTCACTTCCCCATTTGGCAGTGCCACTGAGTCATGAACATTCAAATCGGGGTGACTGAGCCCGTAAACATGAAAAGCTGAAACCAGACACAGAAAATACTCAGGAGGTCAATTCCTCCTCCAAGCAGAGTATTAGACACCACAGACTGCTGGATAAGTCTTCCCCTTTGCCCTCTTTATGTTTCAACCAAATCATCCTACTTAATGGTCCCCAAATGTGCCATGAATTTTCCCCATTTCTGGGTCTCTGCTCATGTTCTTTCTTTCATCTGCCATGCCCTTCTGCTCCACCCTCCAATTCATTAACTAAGATTCCAATCAGAGTCAGTATTTAAGTGCCTTCTCTGTGCTCTGGACTGTAGGGAACATAAGGAAAAAAATATCCAGCCCCCAGTGGCTGGTTGCTTAAAGGAGTTTGGAAATCTCCCTGAAATGGAGTGCGAAGCTTGGCACAGTCCTTGGAGGTGATGCTGGGGTGACTGCCTGAATAGAGTGGAACACACTGACCTAGGAGTCAAAACACCAGTGTCCTAGGCCTGACTCCCTAGTTACGTGTCCTTGGGCAAGTCAAGTGTCTAAACTTCTCTTAGACCTTAGTTTCCTCATCTGTCATCTGTAAAAGGAGTCTGGACTAGAAGATCTCCCAGGTCCCTCATATCTTTAACATTTTATGAGTCTATAACCCAATGAAATGACTTCTTTTTTTTTTTTTTTGCTTACCTGTTTTGTGGCCCCAAGCCTGAACTGCCAAGGCCCTAGACCTTTCGTGTGGTTTAGAGACTGAGGGGAGTTGAGTTACTTTTTCCATTACTCACAGATGGTGCCTATTGAAACCACTGATTCATTTGTTCTCAGAGAGGTCTCTTGCCCTCTTCTGGGACACACACCCATGTGTCGCCCCTCTGCCTCAGGTCTGCCTCACACCCACGGTCACCCCTGTGACAGGCAGGGGCCTCCGCACCCAGGAAGTGTAAGGAGGTGTCTTCCTCCCATAGCATCTCTGTCTGAGGGGCGTAGTGAAGGGGAAGCAGAGGAAAGGGGCAATAGGAAGGTAGCTAGTTCCCTCAGGTGCTGTTGTTTGGGAGTTTACCCTGGTTTACCTCAGTCCGTGATGAAGGACTGGGGATGTCCACCACCCACCACCACAGCCACAACCACGACCAAGTTTCTATTGCCCTTAAAGGTGTACACAGAACTGTTTTCATAACAACCCTGCAAGAGAGAGAGTGCAGAAAGAGTCCCCCATTTTCCAAATGAGAACAATGAGGCTCAGAAAGGTAGTGGTTTGCTCATAATCACATGGCTAGTAAGTGTTAGAACTGGGGCTTGGACACAGGTTTTCTGGTGAGTTTAGTCCAGGGGAGGGCACCCGCTGCCTCAAGGCCTCAAGTTCTCCACCCCTGGCTAGTCCTTCTGCTGTGGACTCTACCTCTCTCAAAAATTAGGTGAAGCTTCCCTATGCTCTGTGCCCAGCCTGTCCTCCTCCTTTGCCCCCTTCTTCTATTTTATGTTTCCACCAAATCAGACTACTTGGTAATTCCCCAATGGGCCATCTGCTTTCCCATTTTGGGGTCTTTGCTCATGTTGTTCTTTATCCCTGTCATGCCCTTCTGCATCCCATTCCACCTGTTACAATTTCACTAATACTTCAGAGACCAGTCACTGTTGCCTCCTCCGTGAAGCTTTCCCTGCTTTTTTCATCTTTTCTCACTCTCTCCCCCAGCCAGAAGCGATGCCTCCTTCTCAGTCTTCCCATAGCCCTTCCTACTTTTCCTAGAACTCTTCTCACACATTGCCCTGTACCATAGCTATTTTTGTACAGATCTTATTTCTTCTGCTACAGTGAAATCTTCTTGAGCGCAGGGATTGAGACCAGTTCCAGATGTATCCTCCTCAACGTGCCTACAAGCGTGCTTTGCACATAGTAGGTACTCATTCTACCTGCCTTCTAGGTCTGTCGTAAGCAAAGCAAAGCAAAGCTTTACGGGACTAGAGAGATGGGAGTTGCTTTAGTAGTGAACTAGAGTATTCCTTCAGAATCTTTGAAAGATGTTGTTGAGGAAAGAGCCACAGACCCTGTTTCTCTGGAGGTGACCACTGTCTTGTTTTGCAGATTCATGCCCCCTGATGATCCTCTGGGCCGCCATGGACCAACTCTTAGTAATTTCCTTAGCAAAGAGCCAAGGCTTCCACAGGCCTCCTGGCAGCGCTGCCCCTATGGTAGGTCTTACCCTTTACCCCCTGTAGCTGGTTCAGAGACTGTTTTTTTGCGGGGACTTGAATGAGTTTGTAAAGTGTGTGGGAAGGTCATGAATGAAAAGTGGATGTGGGATGGAGTTTGTCCTTAGAATCTCCCAGCTTCCTTTAGTGTTCCTTTTCCCCATTCATCCTCCTGCTCTGATGCTGTCCCCTCCTTCCATTTTTCCCTCAAACTCCCCCCACTCCAACCGCTTCTCACTGTCTCTGGAGGAAAGGGATTTTGGTGAACTCCTACAGGTAGAAGTGTCAGGGTCTTACTGGGTTCCCCTCTCAGAAATAGGTACATGTGAAGAGGGCTTTGGGGGGGAAGGCAGTGCTTAGCACCAATTACTGGGAGAATTTCAGGTATTGGTGAGGGAGTCAATCTCATTCAGTCCGACTGCTATGGCCACTTCAGGCCTCATCAGCACAGCATGGACTGTAGCTGCTTGTAGAGTGACCATTTCTAGGAAAAGGCCATGCTGACTCCATGTTAGGATGGGTAGGGGAGGCCTTTCCGTTGAACTTCAGATCATAGGCCAGAAGCAACTGTCACTCGGTCAATAAGTCAACAAGCATATATTAGACACCTGCTCTGTTCCACAGAAAAGGTAGGTAGGTGGCACAGTAGATAAAGCACTGGGCCATAGTCAGGAAGACCTGGGTTCAAATCCAGTCTCAGATACTTACCAGCCACGGGCCTTCCCACACACATACCACCAATCCTACTGAATCCAGGTCTGCCCGTCACAGCCACAATGTCTGTAGGGTATCATGGAAAGAAAGCATTAATTATTCACCCACCCGAGGGGGCTGGGATGGGCTGGGCTGACCTGGGAAGTAGAATTTTGCTCCATGATGGCTCATAGGACTTGCCACGGCCTTGCTCCATTGTAGGATGGTTCAAGACCTGAAATTTTAAAGAGGAAAAGGCAATGGGGCTAGCAGTGAGAGGACCTGAATTCGTCCTTGACCCAACTTTTTGTGGGCTGACTCTTGTCTTCACCTCCTTGCAGGCAGGAAGTGTACCTACGGCAGTAAGTGTAAATTCTACCACCCAGAGAGACTGCATCAAATCCAGCTGTCGGTGGCAGATGAGCTTCGAGCCAAAACGAGGACCTTGCCGGGGTCAGAGGAGGAGCAGCTGAGACCCAGCTTCTTGAAGACTGGGCCAGTTCCCTCCCTGCCTCCCCCCAGCCTGAGCACAGAAGGACCATGGAGTCCCAGGGGAAGCATCAGTCACTACAGTAGCCACAGTAACAGCGGCCCAGGCTACAGTTGGACGGAGGAGAGAGTTCCTTCTATGGACGGGAGCTTTAGGGGAACTCTGGCCAGGAACTGGGAGGATTGTGCTCAGAAGAGGCAGGACCCTGAGAGTGGCTTTCCACACCACTACCAAGCAGGAGATATCAGGTTCTTGGAAAGCCAGTTTTCCCGATTGGCATTTAGTGATGATTTGTATGGCTGTGGCTTGCATACTGGTATCACAACTTCCAGCATCCAGAGTGGGATGAACAATTTATACCAGGGCTGCAATCTCAATCATTCCAGCTGCCATGGCCACTTCAGGCCTCATCAGCACAGCGTGGACTGTAGTTGCTTGAGGAGTGATCATTTCCAAGAAGGGGCCACTCTGACTCCATATGCTTGCAGACATCTGACAGTCAGAGGGTCTTATTATAATAGTACCAGGAAGCCAGACCCAGTCCCTCAGAAGACTTTTGCCTCTAGTAACCACCCATCCAAAGCAGACCTACAGCAGCCCCACCAGCAGGCTGTATACTGCTCTCACACTCCCACTGGGGATCCATTTCCCCATGCCACCCAGTCCGATGAGACCTGGAGTATAGAGCAAGGACCGAAGGAACCACCTGGTCCACCCTTCTGGGGGGACTCCAGCTGGGGAAACTGTCGTTTCAGGAAAGCAGATAGTTATCTACACTCTTCTGAATATAAATACCCCACCGTGGATTCAGCCATTGGAGAACAAGCCCACATTCGGACAGCCCTCTATAACATCTTCCCGCAGGATGAGGTAGACCAAGTCATGTCCTTGTTTCCCAACCTTGTGGATATCCCTAGTCTGATATTACTCATTGAGAAAAACCGTCGGCTTTGTCCATGAGTTGGAAGCCTCTGAGAAGTCAGTGCAAAGCATATGCCCTGGGTATCCCTAGAATCCTTGGGACTGTGAAGTTCTGGAGGCTAGAGCTGCAAACTTACTGAAAGCAACTCACAGTTGCGCAATTGACATTTCCTATTGGCTGGTCCGGGCCCCTTGTCTCTGGGCAGGGTGACGTCTAAGCTTTCCCAATGCACATGGAGATCAGGTCGAGGAAGACAAGGAAAGATATTCCATGATTTAGTCACACTCCTGCTGCCTTTGGCCTGTTTCCTGAACGAAGGTCACAAAGTCTAAGAGGTGGAAAAGACTTCAGAGGTCCCCTAGTCTGAGCCTCCACCCGAGCAGGAATCCAAAAGAGATTTGCTATGTTTTTTGCGGGGCAGAGGCAATTGGGGTTAAGTGACTTCCCCAGGATCACACAGCTAGTACATGTCTAAGACAGGATTTGAACTCAGGTCCTCTTGACTCCAGGGCTGGTGCTCTTATGTACTGTACCACCTAGCTGCCCTTAGGATTTCCTATTAATAAATAAGCATTCAGATTTTGCTTGAAGATCTCTACTGAGTGGGGAACCAACCTACTACTTCTCAAGGCAGCCCATTCCACTTTGGAATGGAACAGATTTGGAGCAGATTTTATTGTTAGGAAGTTTGGGGGGTTTTACTGTTGTTTTTTATCCCATGGGGCCAAGAAGAATAAATGTAACCCAGGGATTCTTTTCCTGGGTTCTGTGAACTTAGAAAAACATTGTTTTTGTGATTATTTGCATATAATTGGTTTCCTTTGCAATTCTTAGGGTTTTTTTTTTAAATTTATGCATTTAAAAACATGGTTTTGAGAAGGGATCTCTGTGTTTCATTGGACTACCAAAAGGACACAATAAAGATTAAGAACCTTCTATCTAGTCCCTCTTCTATGTGATAGCCCCTTAAGTACATGAAGAAAGCTACAGAACAGTAGGAGTACTGATTTAGAGCTGGAATGGACCAACCTTCTTATTTTACATGTGAGGAAACTGAGGCACAAAGCAGTTAAAGTGGCTTGCCCAAAGTCACACAAATAGAAAGGACAGTGCCAGGGTTCCAACCCAAGGTGTCTGATACTAAATCCAGCACTCTCTACTAAACCATGCTGCCTCAACGTCTCCTTCTAAGGCTCTTCTTCTCAAGGCTAAATATCCCCTCTTCCCATTCCTTTAGTCTTCTTATGACATGACTTTTCAAACTTTCATCATCCTGGTTGCCCTTTTCCAGATGTGTTCCAGCTTTTCTATGTCCTTAAAATATGGCACCTATCATAGAACATCCAGCCTTCCATGTGAAACCTGGCCAGGGCAGAGAATAGAAATGCAATCCCCTCCCTCATTTGGGACATTCTTCTTTACTGTAGCCCTTAGTAGCATATCGTTAGGAGATAATGGTATCCTACCATCCTTTACCTAGAGGTGAAATAGATACAGCTTGGAGTCAGGATGGACCTGAGTTCAAATCTAGCTTGAGACGCTTAACTGGTTATATGACTCGCTCTCAGCCTCAGTCTTCCTCATCTGTAAAATGGGGATGATAACAGTCCCATACCTCCCAGGGGTTGCTGTGTGGAATAAATGTGATAGTGAGTTTAAAGTGTTTTGCAAACCTTAAAATGAAGTACAAATGCTAGCTATTACTTTTGACTGAGAGTGAATTTGCAGGCCACAGAGATTTGTCACACACACCCGAAGGTGAATACAGGCCAAATCCCATTCCAGCAAACACCAAGAGACAGTCCAGATGTTTTCCTTGCCCTGGAATCTTATTTTTATTAAATATTGTTTTATTGTACAGAAATTCTACTTTATTTGCTATTTTCTTGTTGCTGACCAGGGTGACTTCTAAGCCTTCTCTTTGAGTGAAATCCCAAGTTCTTTCACTTTTCTCCATTTTAGCCAGTTCCTCAGTTGATTTCTCCACAACTTCATGACTCTCTGGGCCTCAGTGTCCTTACCTCTAAAATGGGGGGATTGGATTAGGCAGCCTTTCAGGTCTCTTCTAAATCTGATTCTATGACCTTCCTGAACCTAGCACAGTGCCAGGCACATGGGTCCTTAATAAATACTTGGTTGGTTGGTTGATTGGTACAATGGGACAGCGACCTTTATTTGCAGACTTGCTGTGTATCTCCACATTAACCATTCTCTCATATTTAAAGTTGGCTTCTCTTCACATTGTAATCAGAGACAGTTATTTCTATTTTTCATAGTACCTTTTGCTAGAGTAAAGTCCAAAGTCCTAACCATCCCCTATTTTTTTTTTACCCATGACAGTAATGGGCCCAAACAGTGTCAGTAAGCAGATGGATCCCCATTTTGTAGCAGAGGTCCAAAGGACCACTGACTGCCTAGAGACACCAGGCTAAACCAACTGGACTAGAATATAGCCCTTCGGACCTCTTGCTATCCCACAATATAAAAGGGGAGAAAAAGAAGGCCCCCTCGGATCTCACCCATAAGAGATAAAGCAGCGTTTTCCATTTCTGCTCTGAAAGCTATGCATGGGCGTGAGGCAAGGTGCCATTTCGTACAAGGTACCCCACACACAGGCCATAGTTTGAGTTGGCAAAACTGTCAGCTTTCAGCAGATATTCTATTGATCCGCTGTCTAAAGGCTCTTGGTTAAGGTTTCAGCCCCATGGCCTGGCAGGATGGGCAGGTCTGCAGCAGCAGGTAAATTCCCCTCTCTTCCATTTCTTGGGATTGCTGAAGCTTTAGAGTTTCAGATTTCCCAAGGAGATTAGCCCTGGGGCAATCCACAGGGACTAAGGGCAGTTCATTCCCATTTGCTGTTGTGGCCCCCGTGTTCATGGTAGCAGTACAGTTATCTGTTTCCCAGACCTCTTTTATGAATCCTGTGAATATAACTAGTTGTAAAATACTGTGACGTGATGCTGTATCTCTCTGTTGTGTCTGAACCCTTGGCACTTAAAAGCACATTTATCATTTTTTGAGCCTGGTTTGAGTCGGAATTGACTCCCCTGTCCTGTCCTACCTAAATAAAAAAAAAACACCAAAAAACTGACCTGTAGACACATATCCAGTTTATATTGTTACTTGAGATCTGATTGAAAGGGAATATAAGATGCTACCATATTTATTGTGCTGTGTGTAAAAAAAACAATCAATTCAGCAGAGCAAAAGGCCCTTTTCCCATGCACATGTCAAAATCACATGATTGCTTAAAAGATATAATAACAGATATAACTTTATTTGCTGACCCTCTAATTATTATTATTTTTTAAATATAAATTTATTTATTTTTTAGTTTTCAACATTTACTTCCACAAGATTTTGAGCTCCAAATTTTCACCCCATCTCCCCTTCCCCCCACCCCAAGATGGCATGCATTCTGAATACCCTTCCCCTAGTCTGCCCTCTTTTCTATCTCTCCCCCACCCTTCTCTTATCCCCTTCCTCTTCTATTTTCCTGTAGGGCAGGATAGACTTCCGTACCCCATTTCCTGTATTTCTTACTTCCCAGTTGCATGTGAAAACATTTTTTTTAAACATGTGTTTTTAAAACTTTGGGTTCCAAATTTTCTCCCTTCCTCCCTCCCCACCTACCCTCATTGAAAATGCAAGCAACTCAATATAGGTTATACATGTGCAGTTACGCAAAACACTTCCATAGTAGACATGTTGTGAAAAACTAGCTCTATTTCCCTTAATCCTATCCTGCCCTCCCATTTATTCTATTCTTTCTTTTGACCCTGTCCCTCCTCAGAAGTATTTGCTTCTGATTACCCTTTCCCAATCTGCCCTCCTCTCTATCATCCCCTGCTCTCTTGTCCCTTTCCCCTATTTTCCTGAGGGTAAGACAGATTTCCATACCCAATTGAATGTGTATGTTATTCCCTCCTTAAGCCAAATCCTATGAGAATAAGATTCACTCATTCCCTCTCACCTTCCCCTGTTTCCCCCACTGTAAGAGCTTTTCTTTTCTGTTTTTTGTGAGATAATTTACCCCTACTTCTCCCTTTCTTCTTCTCCTAGTATAATCCTCTCATCCCTTAATTTTATTCTCCAGATATGACCCCTTAATCTTCAACTCACCCTGTGCCCTCTATCTATCCATCTGTCATATATACATACATATAATTTCCCCCCTCCAATTACCCTAATACTGACAAAGATCTCATGAGTTATAAATATCATCTTTCCATGCAGGAATGTAAACAGTTCAACTTAATAAGTCTCTTATGATTTCTCTTTCCTGTTTACCTCTTCATGTTCCACTTGAGTCTTGTATTTGAAAGTCAAATTTTCCTATTCAGCTCTGGTCTTTTCATCAAGAATGCTTGAAAGTCCTCTATTTCACTGAATGACCATTTTTTCCCCTGAAGGATTATACTCAGTTTTGCTGGGTAGGTGATTCTTGGTTGTAATCCTATCTCCTTTGCCCTCCAGAATATTATATTCCATGCCCTGTGGTCCTTTAATGTAGAAGCTGTTAAATCTTGTGTTATCCTGATTGTGTTTCCACAGTACTTGAATCGTTCCTTTCTGGCAGCTTGTAATATTTTCTCCTTGACCTGGGAACTCTGGAATTTGGCTACAATATTCCTAGGAGTTTTCCTTTGGGGATCTCTTTCAGGAGAAGATCTGTGGATTCTTTCAATTTCTATTTTGCCCTCTGGTTCTAAAATATCAGGGCAGTTTTCCTTGATAATTTCTTGAAAGATGATGTCTAGACTCTTTTTTTTGATCATGGCTTTCAGATAGTCCAATAATTTAAAAATTCTCTCTCCTGGATCTATTTTCCAATGAGATATTTCACATTGTCTTCTATTTTTTCATTCTTTTTGATTTGTTTTACAGTGTCTTGATTTCTCATAAAGTCACTAGCCTCTAATTGCTCTATTCTAATTTTTAAGGAAGTATTTTCTTCAGTAAGCTTTTGGACTTCCTTTTCCATTTGGCCAATTTTTCTTTTTAGGGCATTCTTCTCCTCATTGGCTTTTTGGACCTCTTTTGCCATTTGGGTTAAGCTATTTTTTAAGGTGTTATTTTCTTCAGTATTTTTGGGGTCTCCTTTAGCAAGCTGTTGACTTGTTTTTCATGATTTTCTTGCATCACTCTCATTTCTCTTCCCAGTTTTTCCTCTACTTCTCTTACTTGCTTCTTAAAATCCCTTTTGAGGTCTTCCAAGGCCTGGGACTGATACATATTTTTCTTGGAGGCTTTGGATGTAGGAGCTTTGACTTTGTTGTCTTCTTCTGGTTGTATGTTTTGATCTTCTTTGTCACCAAAGTAAGATAATATAGTCTGACCCTTTTTGCACTGCGTGCTCATGATCCCAGCCAATTACTTGAATTTTAAACTCTTTGTTAAGGTAAGAGTCTGCTTCCAATGTGGAGAATGTACTGTCCCAAGCATCAGGGGTTTATGTAGCTGTTTTCAGAGATACTTGTAGGGACCTGTAAGTTTTCAGTTCTTGCAAGGGGGTATGATCCAGAACTGTGATCCAGATCCATCACCAGGGAGATATCTTGATTTGTCCGTAAATTGGATTTAAGTGAGGTAGTCAACATCTTGCTCTCTCCTCCAGAGTCAGCAGAGTCAGCAGTACAAAAGTCAAGATGACCGGTGGCAGCCCAGGCTGCAGTGGGTGACCTTGGCTTTTTCCAGCTAAGGTCTTTCCCAGGTCTCAGTTTGTCTGGGGTAATGCCCATTTAGTGATTAAAGGCTAGGTAAGAATTGAGAAAAACAGGAGACTGATTGGAGTGCATAAGCACCCTTTAGAGAGCAGGCCTAAAGCCAGGAAGGCTTGGGTTCAAATCCCACCTCTGACTCATCCTGGACTTTGTTACAAGCCAATCCCCGTCAATGCTCTGGTCTAATGGTGCCAGACCCAAAAAGAAACAGGTCACTAAACCGAGCATGAGAATCCCTGCAGGCTTTTCATATAGACAATCACATCAACATTATCTATGTTCTATTGTATTTTTGTTTATTTTGTCGAGAATTTCCCAATAACATTTTAATCTTATTCAGGATGCACTCCTACCCTGCACTGGGAAAGGATGTTTTCTCGCCTGGCAGCTTCTGTACCAATGAAATCACAGTTCTAGTCTCTATCTCTAACACTACTACCAATCACTGCACAGACCTGTGTAAGCCCATCTTGCTGTCTTTTTCCTTCCTCAGTGATCCCGGTTGTGTGCTGGGAGAAAGAAGGGAGAGGAAGAAGAAGGAGGGGGAAAGAGGTGGAGGAGAAGGAGGAGGAGGAAGAGGAGGAGGGGGAGGAGGAGGAGGAGGAGAAAGAAAAGAAGAGGAAGAAGAAGAAGAAGATGATGATAGTATTTCCTTGCAGGGAAGGAGAAGGACCCTCAGGGCATTTCAGCAGGCTTCAGCCCTGCTCAGCAACCTCATATTCTTTCCCTTCCTGCCCTGCCATATTGAGCCTCCAAAATGATTTTAAAGGTCATCTAATCCTTTCCCCCTTATTTTACAGCTTGGAGGAAGTTAGGTGGCACAGTGGATAGACTGTTGGGCTCCGAGTCAGGAAGACCCAAGCTTAAGTCCTGTCTCAGTCATTTACTGTGCAACCCAGGGCAAGTCAATAAACTTCTGTCTACCTTAGTTTCCTCATCTGTAAAATGGGCACAATAATAGCACATACCTTTTGTTACAAGGATCCAAGGAGATAATAAATGTAACGTTCTTTACCTTAAAGTGCTATATAAATGTTAACTATTCTACAGATGTTAGTATTCTACAGATGAGGAGACAAAGGGCCAGGGACAATAGAATTGATTGAAGTCATACACTTAGTAAGTAGGGAAACCAGGCTAGGTTTTGTGACTCTCTCTCTGTTTGTCTCTCTCTCTCTGTCTCTT